GGGCTCAATCCCAGGACCCTGGGATCATGACCTGAGCCGAAGGCAGACGCTTAACGACTGAGCCACCCAGGTGCCCCTCAACACGTGTATTACTAATAAGACTTCGACATATTCTGTGATTCTATTTCTTACTGAGGTCAACATTACATAAAAGCAAAATGCACACAGTGTAAGGATTTTTAAAGAACGGTCAAATTTAAGTTTTTTAATTTAAGTTTTTTAAATTTTACAAGAATTTTGACAAACGCATATAGATCTGTATAACCCAAGTTTATCACCCCACAGAGTTCCCCAAGGCCCCCTTCTCAGTGAATCCCTACTCCCACCAACTCAAAGAAAACCACTTTTTTGATTTTTTTTTCCACCACCATGCCAGCAATAATAATCACTCGCATTTTTTCTCAGCACAGATTAGTTTTGTCTTTTGAAAATGAATCTGTTCTTTTATTTATCATGATGTGCTGAGATTCATCCAAGTTGTTGAATGTATCTGTAGCTTGTAGGGAACTTTTTTCTTTTTTTTTTTCTGTAGCAACTCACTGAAACACTATGCTATGGAATACACATTAGGGGGTGCTGGGCTACAGATCTGGGGAAGAGAAAAGAACTGACCTGAACAAAATAAGGGGTTTTCTCTCCCTTACAAAGAAGCAATAGTCAATTTTAAGGTTTTTTTTAAAAAATACTATAAGATAGATAATCTATAATATAATTTTATAATATATATTATATGTTATACATATAAAATCTTGCCTCCATTAAATTACACAAGATAGGCAACGTTTGATAACTGAAATGGGCAAGAGAGAAATGTCTATGGTTTTAATCTGGGACCTTGATTTATTTTTAATGAAGTTCGCTCTAATGACTCTTCTCTAACAACTCCAGATCACTGAGTGCTACTTTTCTCAACGTAATCCCCAAAAGCTTGCCTGTTATCTCAAGGTTGTAAAGTACAGTTAGACAATGCAAGATAACTCTACAAACTGTAAATAAAGCTCTGTGAATGCTGGTTACTGTCATTAATGACACTGATGTGAATATTCTTCTTTTTCCCCTCTGGACTCAAAGAAATTTAAAGTTGCAAGAAAATGTAGAGATTGGGCACTTCATCAGTCATTTCAATTTCTTGGTGGGAAACGGAGTCCTGAACAGCCAGTGACTGACCAGCTGATGGAGGCAAACGTGGGATCATAACCCCAGTACTGCAAGCAGCATATTTCTACTGTGTCCCTGACTCGGAATGACGTCTCTCTCGAATACAAGTCTGATTGAAATCTGCTAAACATTTCACCCAAAGGTAACTTGGGTTTTAAATGAAGAGGACCTGGAAAAACTTTTATCTGTATCTACTAAGGTTACTTAGCCATCCCCGTTTGCCCAGCACTGTCCTGGCTTGTCCACCCAGGAAGTACCTCAGACCCAGAAAACTGGTCATCTGGTACCCCAAATCCTCCTGGGGTCAGAGACAGCTACACAGAAGACATCACTGTATTTCATCCTTTCAGACGTTCTTGAAAGTTGGACGATCACCTTCCCAAGGGACAATCAGAAAACCACTTAAATCTGCTCCCTACTTTTCTACTGGAAGCAGATATCACACGAGCAATGATTCATGTACCACTTGGCCATTAAACTGTCCTTCTTGGGGGCCGGGGGGGGCATATGGTACAATGGTTACAAGCCAAGCCATTCAAATATATAGCCCAGATTTGAATCTCAAGTCTGCTCCTTAACCAGCCACGCGACCTTGAGCAAGTCACTTTACCCCCTTTAAGCCTCAAAATGTCTTGCTTTGAAAAGGGGAGAATACCTATCCTACAACCTGTTTTGTGGGTGAAATGAGATCACACGTGTCAAGTGGTTAGCTAGCGGGGTGCCAGGCATATTGCTCCTGTCCTGCAAAGAGTGACTCCGGATGTGGTTTAATATGCAAGCCCAACAGGAGATGACAAGAGATGCTTAAAGACCGTGCTGGGAACAGCTTCCACGGCGGCGGGGGGCGGGGGGACGACGGGTGGACCCATCCACGTGCCTCCTGGTTTGAATCAGCCAGGAAGCACACCTCCCCCAAGGAAAAGCAGAAGAAATAGCTCAAACGGCAGACATCCACCCAAGCTCTAAGGGTTAAACAAAGGCAACTGCTTTTACATGGGAATGTTTTGTCACCATCTTTTAAAGTGAAACCTTTTCATCTGTGCTCAAGCTTCAGAAGTCTGATTTCCCCGAATTCACTTTGAGACTTCTGCTAGCAATGGGACTTTAATTACCTTTCTCTTACACAGGGATGGCTCTTGTCTTAAAAAAAAAAAAGGGGGGGGGGGCGGGAAGAAAGAAAGAACTCACTTTTTTCTTCGTTCTTTCTTTCTTTTTTTTTTCAGATTGAAATCTTTTGTTCCTGGCACATTCCATATGCCATCCTTTAATATTTAATCAGCACCCCCCCATCAGAAGACGGCTGGCCTCATTAGATAATTAATGGTTGCCAGCATCACATTTGCTTCAGTTAATACATCTGCAGCCAGCAATTAGCGCCTGAGTTTATTAGTTGCACTGGCTTCATTTATTGGGAAAGCAATTCTGCCTTTGATTGAAGCCATTGGGATTGGCATATGTGGACAGCTTGCCCCCCTGTTCCTTGGGATTCTTTTGTTTACATTTTTTTTTTTTTGCTACAGTTTTGCAACACTATGCATCCTGGCCCTGCCACGAACAGTTGGTGAAGATGTGCCTTTTGTAATTTAGAAGATAATTGGGTAATTCTGTGCAGGGGAGAGGGGCTGCAGAGTGATTCTCCAACTTGGGGTGGGGTCAGGAGAGGGTAGGGAAGTGGCTGGCTCATTTGTTCTTTTGGAAATGTCTATTAAAAAAAAAAAGCCATAGATAGAAAGTTGACGAATAGTCACTCTGGAGGGATGCACATTAAGAAATGTAACCTCATGTGTTAGGCAGCTGCTTGGAGCTGGGGAGTCGCAGGGAGGGTGGGGGGGGTGTCTTCTATCACCTTTCATCTCTAAAGGTGAATTTCCACACCTTGTTCCCCCCCACCTCCATTTTTGTGACTAAGCGGGATCAAGTCAGTTTCATGTGCTTTTCAGGCACTTTCCTAGCACCCCTGATCACTGCTGGTTTCTTTCTGGTGATTAAAATCTTGGCATATCACCAAGTTATTTACCAAGTCAAAACCTTCTACTTTCCTGATGCCAAAAATTGGGAAAGAGGATCATTAAGAACACAATAATGATGTGATACCGGAATGAATGAAGGTGAGGTTTTGCAGGTACACCAGACAAAAGCAGGACACAAAGAAAGGATCTCTACGGATGGAGAGAAAAGCGAAGGGAAGGCAGAAAAAATGACAAGTAATAAGGCTTTCAAATTCCTCTGTGCTTTTTTTGTTTTTTTTTAGTTCAAAATTTCTAAATCAAGACCAATCTAAATACAAATGCCATAAATGGAAGGAAGTAATGATGATAATAACGATGAAAATAAACATTTATTGAGCCTTTTCCAAGGGCCAGGCATCCTGCTAAATACATTTCTAAAACTGTGTGTTTTCCCAATCTCTACCAACCTCTCTCCACATTTTAAGGATGAGAAAAAGAAATTCTGTGGATTTTGAACATGTTTTCCCAAGATCTACCACTCATGGGGCTCCCATCATGCCTTAGTCAATTCCTGTGTATAAATTTATTTTATTCTCATGAGAGCAGTTGAGCTCACGGAGATTAAGTCACTTACCAAAATCACGCAGCTAGTAGGGAGACTGTATAATTCCCAGGTCTCTTTCCATTACTACAAAGATGAATACCATCTAGGGGCCCAATCCAGGTTCATATTAAAGAAAAAGTCTACCACAGCTCCAGCCTACTTAAAATTATATGGTAAGTGTTGGAATGCTGAATCATGACACTCAGATCTTTTGGATGAGCCAAGAAGTTCATATATGCTTCTTTAGTCCTAAATGGTAAGACTGATATACTGATTCACCCATTAATTGGTTTTTCTCAGGGTCCATTCAGTTGTCAACCTCAGGGGGAATACTTGAAGAGATAAACCACATCACCAGTAAAAATGCAACAAGGCAGACTCCCGCCCTTTCAATGAAGGGCTTCTCAAACAGTAATGCACATACAGATAGTACCAAAACCTTGTCCTCACGCGCATTCTGACTGCCAAGGGTCGGAGGAACCTGGGATTCTGACTTTCTAACAAGACCTGGGTAATGTCAGTGCTGATAAGGCTGTGGTTCTCAAACCAGGAGACACCTTGGGGTCGCTTGGGGTGTCTGTGGTTTCCACACACCAATTTTTAGGCACCATCCCAATCAATTAAATTAGCATCTCTGGGGATGAGCTAAAGAGTCAGTATATTTTTTTTTTTTTTTAAAGATTTATCTATTTGAGAGAGCGAGAATGAGAGAGAGAGAGAGAGTACATGAGAGGGGGGAGGGTCAGAGGGAGAAGCAGGCTCCTCGCCGAGCAGGGAGCCCGACGCGGGACTCGATCCCAGGACTCCGGGATCATGACCGGAGCCGAAGGCAGTCGCTTAACCAACTGAGCCACCCAGGTGCCCCAAGAGTCAGTATATTTTAAAAGCACCCCCAAGTTATTCCAACACACATCCAGAACCACTGGCTTGAAAAGAAAAATGTCAGCCAGACAAGTCCACTGAGTGGCCTCTGAGTGATACAAATCGAGAGCAATAGAAGGCAGATACAACACATTCCTACTTACAAGACAAGAAGGAAGACCGTCCTAAATTATAAACCACTTGATTCTCCCACTGATCCTTAGTAAGGTATATACACAATACTATTATAAAGAAACATGACTTACCATCTTAGATCCTCAAGGAGTCTTCCGGGTGAACAGAAACAAGCTGTTAAGCATCCATGGCCTCAGGGTTCTCGTCTGTAAAACCAGCTAACACTAGTTACTGTTGGAAAAGGTCAAGGAGAGGGCGTGGCCCCCGCTGGCCCCGTGATGGGCGGCTCCTCATTCTGACCCTTCTGGAATGCACGCTCCAAGGGCAGTTCCTACCGTGGGCGGCGTCGATGCAAGCCCGGGGCCTGGGGAGAGTCAGGTGCGGTCGAGACCAGCCTCAGTCAGGTGTGGTGGAGACCCTCCAACCCGCAGACCTGGCCGATCCCCGTGAAGGCCTCTCTGTAGACTCTTGAGGATCCCGACAGCGGGTGCGATGTCCGGGACAAGCCTCCTGGATGAGTCCCCTTGCTCGGGAACCCTGCGGCCTGCACGCGCTCGGCGGCCCGCCTCTCTCAGGCTCCCTGGTCCTGCGTCCCGGGACAGGTTTGCGAGCCGAGTGGCGGGACAGCCAGGAGATGAGGAACCGGTGCCGGGAAGCAGCAAAGCGGGAAATCCCGAGTCCGCCCTGACCTCTGTCGGGGAGGGGGGAGGCCCACCATCGGCGCTGGGGGACCCGGGACGCCAGGAAGGCCTCTGGGCGGCTGCGCGCTTCTGGAACTGCGCCGGGGAGGGAGGCGCGGGCCGCGGGCGGGCTGGCCTCTCCTGGGGCTCACTGCCCGGGGGGCTCCTGGCAGGCTGGAGCCCCTGTTAGAGAGCCAGCGGGAGGGCTGGGTGAGCCAGGGCCTGGCGGCTCCGGGGCTGGCACACGGGGTGGGCGAGCAGGAGGAGAAGCTGGAGGCCTCAGTGGCCCTCTGCAAAGCCGGATCTGGCCGCTGAGAGGTGGGCTTCCAGGGAAAGTGACGCAGGAGGTCATCCAGGGGGCACGACCCCGGTAACCCGGGAGCTGGCCCCCCCGGGCGGTGGGGGAATGTGGGCTCTGCTCACTGCCCCATGGTGGGAGCCGGTCCAAGGAAGCAGCCTGGAGAGTGAGGTGTGGTGGAGACCATCCCCACCGGAGACATGACAGGACCCCGCTAGGGTCTTTCTAGAAACTCTTAGCATTCTGGCAGCAGGTGCAGAGATTCACTGGTCTTGCAGCGCCGAGAACAAGCCTTCCGAGTTAAGTCCCTTTGCTTATTAACCCCTCCGCCTGCCGGTCTGGAGTGGCCTGCTTCTCTCTCTTCGCTCTCGCCCTGCCCTCTCTGTGTGCTCCAGGCCAGTTTGCCAACCCACACCTGCTTGCCTGAGAATGAAAGGAAGTAAGCAATGTGTAGGTTGTCTGCAGAGTCTAGAGAGTTCTGTAGCAAAGCAAGGCACAATTATTAATAACGCTTCACCCTTGGGCAGCACAAGTTCTTCCAAGCTGGAAACTCCAAGGCAGTTACTGTAATTATAATTCAGTTCTAAGTAGTATGCAGTTTTGTTAAAACAAAAACCGTGTTCATCAGATTTTACTTTTCTTAAAAAGTAGAAGAATGAAAAGTGACCTCAAAATATCTTTGCATGTAGAGTTTGCCATGCCATATCCTGTTGATAAATAGGATGGTTTTTGTTGGCCCATGGATCAACTTAACCTAATCACATTTAAGTATACATGAGAAAAATCGTGGATTTGGGGGTATTGATATAAAATTATATTTTCGAGTGCATTTATTTAAATGAAAACAGTAAAACAGCATAAAAACTTTGTTAAGCACTCTCCGTGCTCTAACTTAAGTAATAAATATAAGTAATAAATTGATGAAGAGAGAATGTGAATAGCTGTTTGCAGTTGGAAGTACCTCATTGTGATTCTGCATCACAGAGTGATCCAACCATGCCCTTCCTACTCAGCTTCATCCTCCAAATGCTGTGCACACAAGTGCTCATCCTTGCCTTCGTCAGATCTGCATCATTGGCAAAGTCAGGGGCTTTCATTCCTTCAGGTCTGGCACTGGGCAGCGTGGCAGGACTGCACTTTGGTTATAAGGGGTGACTTTGGAAGGAGTTGTCCCTGGTGCTTTATCCCTTGTCCCCAGCGCTGAACAAGTCACCAAAGCCTCAGGGACAGCTGTTCCCTTTTCTACAATCAGTGCTGGCCAAACTTGCAGGATCCTTCCAGGGCTAAAAGGTGATGTGTTGCCCTTAGGATTAAAGTTTACCTTTAGAATTTGCAAATTCACTTTCTGGAATTTCTCGTAAAGCCGTCACCAGGGAAGTGTGCAAACCCTAGCCCCCAGAGTGCACATGGCCATTATTCGTACAGTAAGTGTTTTATTAGATTGGGGTAGGAACAAATGTGTCATTAGGTTGAATCATACGAAACTGCCATGTTTGTAGGTCAAAAATGGGTGAACATTAGTGATCAGATGTCTAACGATGGGAGAGCTTTTAAGCCATTTTGGGGCATATTCTGTGTAATAATACACTCCACAGCTGCAGAATGGTATTTAATGTTAGAGATATTATTCAAGAATATTGTCTTCTGCAGAAAACAAGACAAACAAAAGAAATAGGTTGACAAACAGCACAAACAGTGTTATTTGTTTAGAATATATGCAGAGAAAAAAGGACATAGCGTCATCTATATCAAAGTCGTGTGTGCTTTCTCATTTTTCTGCACTGGCTGTGACTGCTTCTAGTTTATTAAGATTTTTTTTTTTTAAAGTTCCTTTTAAATCAGTGTTATATGTTCATTACATCCACTTCTTGGTCAGTAGTCTGTCTCTCTCATCCACATCTGGGTAGTCAGTGATGCACTTGCTGCTACCATTTCCCCAGTCTGTGAATTTATCATTCATGTTTCTTTTGTTAAATAGCTCCAGGATACTCCCCAACACGTAACTCCAGCCAGCCGTTTCCAATCAATCAGAATTGTTGTACAAGGCAGTCCTGATTTTCCTTCCCTGCCCCGGACCCCACCAGCTAGGTATTCACCTCCCACCTGTGGCCTCTCACCTCCATGCAGATAGCTGTGCACCTTCCTCATCACCCGCTCTGAGCTTCACGCAGATTCCTACAGCCACCAACTGGAATTCTGTATCCCAGGCACTCCTGGGAATTCAGGGTCACAAGTAGCATCTGACCAACACATCGTGATTTGTTGGAAATTTTCTGCATTTAAAATCGCAAGGCTCCTGTCCTAGGAAGTCCCTCGGTCTCAGAAAAACTGGGGGGTTTGGTTGTTCTGGCACTGGTTGGGTTGGGAGGATCACTGTGGACAAGCACAAGCTTTTGGCCAAAGCTGCTTGTTGGTAGGTCAGTCAAGGGACGGGGCCAAGGCCAAGGAGGATGATCTCCAGCTTCCAGTCTGTGGAAGGTCTTTGAGAAAACTGGGAGCGCGTAGGTAACATCCCTCTCGGGGCACAAGTAATCGGTAAGAATTCAGTCTCTGATGTCTGTTCAAGAGCATCTACTGACAATAACCATTCCTCCCACCTCTGGCCATGTTACTTGGGACGTTCCAGCAGGTCAACCCCAAATAGTCTCAGGCTTGCCAACTCGAGGGAAGGCTGAACTCCCAGACTCTGGGATGGATGTTCTAAGCTCTCCTTCTTGGCAGGTTGCTTTTAGCCCTCAGCCAGTAACAAGCCATTACTTTTCTCTGTGAATTCAGGGCACCTTATTTTCCAGAGCACCAAGTAAGCACTGCAGTGAATGATGATCATGTTCTAAGTTAATGATACTTTCCTCAGACTCCATATGCAAAAAGTGAAAACTCTGATTTCTTCTTTGAGAGGCCATTAATAGAAATCCTTAAAAAGACAGTTTCTTAGCACTGGAAATATTAAGCTGTTATTATGGCAAGTGAGCTTATTTTTACTTTCAAATGAAAATATAAATAAGTAATAAGTAAATATTAGCAATTTCGGTTCGGTAATGAATAAGGACAGAATTGGGAACTGAAAGAGTATGTGCCCATTAGAGAGGCCGGGAAATTAACATTTGTTGACATTTTACTCTTTTAGCTTTAATGTAAACTAGAGGCAATTAAGTTATGTTCAACACATTTCCCTTGTAAATATTTTCTGTTTCTCGATACAGTAACGGAGATGTCTTATAACAGTGGCATATTAGCAGGCGCCAAACTGGGGGGAAGGCTTACCTGTCATCTGCCAGTATAAAAATAGAAAACCCAAATGCTTGAATAATTCAGTGTTTCCCTTCTATTTCTTATCCACATCATGACGATGCTGTTCACCATTCAGGGCACCTTCTCTCTCTCTCTTTTTAACAGAGTTGATCTCTAGGTAAATCTATAAATCCCCACCCAGAAGAACATGAATTATCCAGTGCTTGAACGAAATGAAGACAAAAACAAGCTTGAATATTTAAACTCGAAGCAAGTATCTTCAATGATAGATCCTTTCAGACTCCCAACTCATTTTTTTCTTTGATATCTACTACTGCTATAAAGTCCCAGTTTATCATATAACATTACAAATTTATGGTGTAACCAGCTTGTGTACTGACTATAAACCCTTCATCAGTGCCACCGTAAAGGGTTTATAGTCCATAAATAGAAGAGCAGGACTGTCTTGCTTCCTTGTTTTGCCCACGACACACCACTTCAGATGTGTCAACCAAGTTATTTGTTTTAGGTTCAGGCTGAGTTACGGGAGAATAAGTGGATACATTGTTTCGCCTCTCCGAAAATCCAGAGACAATTCAGGGTCACCAGGGAGATTAACAATGCAATGTTAGCTGGAAAGATGCAAGAGAATATGTCTGTTCTTATTACATCATTAATCTGTAGGTGGGAAATAAAAGAGTAAATCTCAAAATTCAAGTAATTAGGAACATGTTCTTTCTTTTGAAACCCACCAACTGTGTAATAATGCCGTATCTTAAATTAATGGGGACATATAATTTTACAGTATTTACTGTTGTCCTCTTTCAGATGCTCTTTGCTCTGTATCAACCAACCCTCTCTTTGGAAAGAACATTGGGTTTTAGCACATGAAAAAAACTGAGCTCAGATTCTAGCTCCAGTCTTGAACTCTGTGGTTCAGGCAAGCTTCTGCTCAGTGCTGTCCTCATCTATAAAGTGGAGGTGATAAT